AAAATGTGTTAATTATGTATTAAACGAACGAATTATATTATCATAGTTAAATTCTAGGTAATATATTAATAAAAAAAGAAATATTTAAATAAAAATATTTAAGAAAAAAATAAAATAAAGTTTTATTACTAATCTAGTTTAATCTTTTTAAACAAAATATTTTCTATTTTTAGTGATGGAATATATGGGGGGAGGAGATTTAAGATATCATTTAAATAATTAATTAAAAATAAAAGAAGAAGATGCAAGTATTAGTTTTATACTATAAACTTTATTAAAAAAATAAATAATATTTAATAGAATTTATAATAGGGTGCATATTAATTGCATTAGAATATATTCATAACAAAGGTTATATTCATAAAGATATAAAACCTGAAAATCTTATTTTCGATAATTAAGGTTATTATTTTTTAAATTTTATAGAATATAACTAAATTTAATTTTATTTAATAAAGGTTACATTAGATTATCGGATTTTGGAATTTCAAGAAGTGTAAAATAATTTAATTAAAAAGAAACGAGTGGAACACCAGGATATATGGGTAGAAAATAAATAACAATAATATATATATATATATATTACTATTAATTAAAGCTTTTATTATTTTTACTATATTTTTTATTTAATTTAATTTTTGTAAAAAAAAATACTGAAAAAAAATATAAAAAAATGTGCTAAATAAACAATATATATTAAATATTATTTAATAATAAAAAAACTAATAAATATCAAAATATATTATTTATATAATATTTAAACTCTATTTTATTTTTTGATATATTTATTTATATTTATAATTGTATTAATTTAGCTCCTGAAATTTTATTTTAAGAAAATTATGGAACATCATCTGACTTTTTTAGTCTAGGTGTAATTTTATATGAAATGATATATGGTTTTGTATATTTCTATTTTTATTACATATTTTTTTAATTTTTATTTATTTTTAGAAACCATATAATGCAAGAAATAGCTAATAAATGAAATAATTATTAGATTTATAAGAAATTTAAATTTAAGAAGTTATAGATGGGTATTCTTATTAATGTACTGATCTTATAAACTAAGTATTTTTAATTTTATTATTTTTTTTATATATTTTTAAAAGTTAATTAAAATATAACCTGATAATAGAATTGGTTATTTAAATGGTGTTTAAGAAATTAAATAACATCAATGGTTTATCGGATTTAATTGGAAATAATTAGAGTCAAAATAATTAAAATCAAATTTTTTGCCTAATAAATATGAAAATTATATTAGAATACCCATTTGTGATACTTAAACAAATGCTGATGATCAATGTAATAAAAAAATATTATCTTCAAATTAAATTTAAGGTATTTATATTTTTAGATAGATATATGTATATATTTTATTTATATGAAAAATTAGAATTATTTAAAAATTTTGATTACAATAATGATCATAAAGACTTTAAACCTATTATACGTCATTAATGAACTAATAATTAAATTAAAAATATAGTTTTTACAATTTTTTTTTTTTTAAAAAAAATAATCATATTACAGTTTTCGATATTAATTATACATTAAAAAAAGAAGAATATATAATAAAAATAAAAAATTTTATATTTATAAATATAAACTTAATAAAAATTTAATATATAAAAATAAAAAGTAAATAAACAAATTAAATTTTTGAAATATAATTATATTTTATATTATAATATTAATATTTTAATCATTAATTATATTTATTATATTCAAATATATATATATTATTTTTTTGATATTTTGAAAATCAATATTTATTTATTTTGTAAATATAAATAAAATGTCTTTGAATTAATAATATATTAAAAAAAATCTAAAATAAGATAGAGAGTCAATAGTTTTTACTTCAGAAGATTCATTCTATTCAGATAATTCATTTAATTAATCATTAGAGAATGATAATAATAATGGTAAACCTAAAATAAAAGCAAAAACTAATAATTAAATATTAAAAAAAAAGATTTTAAAAACACTTTGTTTCATCTAAAGGAATAAATGAATTAATTTTTTCAAGTAAATCCAGAACTTTAAGATCATATAAAATACGATAATATACAAAATTAAATGAAAAATGAAATTAAACATATTTAAAGCACTAACACAAATTAGCAAAATTTAAATGATTAAGAAAAAAAATAAAAAGAGAAAGAACTAAAAAATAAATCTTAATTATGGTCCAAATTAAGTAATACAATAATAAGGAATAGTCGATTTTAATAAAAAATACCTTCTTTAGATACTTTAAACCATAGGTTAATACTTTATTAATAAAAAAAAAAATTATTTATATTTAAAGATTAAATGTTTATCATTAAAATATCGAAAAAATAGACTATTTAGAAGTTTTATAAAACGAAATAAGCAAATAATCTTAAAAATAAAACAAAGAAAAAGGTCAAGAGAAAAATTTTTTATTACAATAAAATTATACAGGATATAATAAAACAAAAAGCAACTATAACTAAAATAAGGATTCATTTACAGAAGAAGAATAATAATTCGATTTAAACAGAGAAGTAAAATACTATTCCTATAAAAAAAAAATGGAAGTTTTGTAAAAAGAAATGGGATATAAATAGGCTGAAATTTTGAAAAAAAGAAAGTATCTAAATTCTAGCAAAAAAAACATTGTTTTATGTCTATAAAAAGGTACAAAAGAAATTTAGAAATTTAAAGAAAATATTTTTTAAATTTAAAAATAATAAACTAATAAAAAAGAAATAAAATAAAAATAGATTAGAATAAGCAATTCTTTATATTAATAAAATATATAATTGGTAGACTAATAATATTAGTCTAAAAAGTCTATTATATATAAATTAAATAATAATAATAAAAATATTATTGATATATAAAATAATAATAATAATAATTTAAATCATAATAACGATATTATTTTAAAATTAAAATAATAATTCTAAACCAAAATTGGAAAATAATTATTAATAGCAGTTTAACAAAGTAAAGGAGATAAAGAATAGTTTAAAAAAATAGCATAAAATATATTAAAAGAATATGATAAAAATAAATAAAATATTCTCAAAAATAATAAATTTCCACCAAATATTCCTAAATTTATTTAGGAAGAAAATAGAGCCTTGAATTAATTATTACCTGATTTTAGTAATCTTTTATCTACTTAAAATAATAAAATCGACCCCTTTGAATTAATAAAAGATTATTAACCAGAAACTAATTCATAGGAATATTAATAAATGTAGTTGATTGAAAAATTATCAAATGGAAAAATAATTACTTAATGGAAATACTAAATTAATAATTGATATATATAAAAAAAAATTAAATATGGTTTATTAATAATAAATTAAAAATTCTTTTTTTTTAAATAAAATTAATTTGTTATATAAAATTTTTATCAATTTTAAGATGAAAAAAAAAATATATAAAAAAAATTTATAAAAAAAATAAATAAATATTATATTTAATAAAATTTATATATATATATATAAAAATCTTATAAAATATAAATATATATATTTATAAAAAAAAAAAAACAAAAAAAACTAAAATAATCATTAATACTGTAAACCCTAATTCAAATCTTACTTGAACTAGAAATATTTTCTGAACTTTAAATTAAAGCATTTTTTTCCGCATTAGTTCTATTTAGAGATTATTTCATAAAAAAAATAGTTATAAAGCTCAAAATAAAAATACTAGCGAAAGTAATAACACACCAAAAAGCACTTTCTTCTTTATTTTTGAAAGTATCAATAATTAAACTAAATAGACTTCCTAATAAAAAACCTACAACATGTGCTATACTATAAAGGAAACCAGAAATAATAGCTTCTCCTACAGGAAAACATACTTCGTTTGCAAATTCTAAAAGAATAGGTACTATAGGGATTATAAAAAAACCTAAAATAATTTCAGGGATAACTACTAATACATATATTCTCGTTTTGAGCATAAAATAAAACATAAAATCACTCAATATACAAAAAATAATACACAATCCCATTAATCTTTTATATTAGAAATTTTTTTTGAGAATTTGTATCAAAACTATGCTACCTATAATACCAGACATTACACAAATTAAAGACATAATGCTAGTATCTCTAGATCCAAAACCAAATGGTGCAATAACTTAACCTAAAATAACTGCAAAATCAATAAAAGACCCATACAATAATGAAAAAGTTATAGTAATTAAAATATATGTCTTATTCTTAACTAATAGTTTTAAAGATTTTTAAAAATCTTCTCTTTAAACATTTGCTGAATAACTAGGAGGAGTAAGAGGCTTATCTCTATAAAAAATAATATTCAAAACAGCAAAAACAGAGACAACAATTGCTTAAACTAAAAGTAAATTAAAAGTTAAATTTTTACCTTCTTAGAAAGTTTCTTAGTTATCTTTTGAAGCATCATATTTAGAAAAAAATATTCCTGGTATTAATAAGCCTATTATACCTGATACTGTTGAAAAAAAAGATAATAAACTAGTAACAGCAGCTCTTTATGAAGGATAAAACCAATTACATGAAACTAAAATTAAATAAATTAAAAATAAAAATAAAAATATTATAAAAAAAACATATAAATATATGTTTAGAAAATAAATAAAATATATATAAATTATAATATATATATATATATAATATAATATATATATATATATATATATATATATATATATATATATATAATTTTATGATACATTTGCTTATTGAGTTTATCATAAATGGATTTGCACATCCTACAAAAAATTAACCTAATATTGCATAATTAAAATTATAATTTATTAAGCATTTTGTCCAACATGACAATAATGCGAAAAAACAGCATATTGTGTTGCCTATTTTAGTCCCATATTTTTCGACTACGAAATTTGCTGGAAAAGACATAGGTACATGAACTATCATATGAATTAAAGATGTTAAATTATAAATAAAATTAGATTTTTTATATACAATTATTAATTAAGCTGCCTGTGGCGAAAAACTGTTTTAAATCATCGATATTTATAGCATTCCAAGGATGAATATTATAATAATAAAATATCTTAATTTGTATACTTTATATTTACTTTCTATTTGCTCTTCTAGTTTTATTAATTCTTAAGATTAAATTTATTCATCTTTATTTTAAATATCTTCATTTTTTAAAAATTCGGTATTTACGTTTTGCTCTATTGTGTTATTATTTTTTGAATCCTACATTAATATTTGGGATATTTTTTATTAATATTTAAATTTAATTTTTTTTATTAAAATTGTCTTTTTTTATTATTTAATGTATAAATAATAAAAAATAGATTTTTTATTATATAAATATAATATTTTATATGGCATAAAAAAAATTTGAATTAAAAATTTATATAAATTTTTAATTATTATATAGTATATTTAAGATTTAATTTTAATACATTAATAATAAAAAAATTTAAAATAAATTTTTATTTATGTATTAAAATTATATATAAATTATAATAAATAAAATGAAATTAAAAAAATTATACTATTAAATATATAAATAATATTTTTAGTAATTAAAATCAAAAAAATAATATAAAACTATTTTATATTAAATTTAATATAAAATATTATATTTTAAATAATATATAAAATTAAATATAAAAAAATATAAAAAAGTATATATATAAATAAAAAAATGAATATAAAAAAGAAATTTTATAAATATAATATAATTTATATTAAATTTTCTAAATATAAAGATATATAAAAATATATAATAAATAATAGTAAATGAAATTAATAAAAAAAAATTATAAAAATAATAATTATTATGAAAAAATATTTTATAAATATATAATTATATATATATATATATATATATTTAATTTTTTATTTGATTTTCTTTATTAATTAATTTTATTATATTAATTCTTAATTTTCGTTTATTAAATTTTTTTTTTTTAGAATTAATTATTTTTATTATTTATTTTTTAAATATTTATGAAATTTTTTATATATCATTAGTATATTATATAATATTATATCATATTTTTATTTATAATAAAACTTCCGAATTTTTAAATATTTAAAATAAAATATAATTTAATAATAAATAAATATTAAATGCCCCCTAAAACAAATAAAAAAGATGATTTTTAAGATTATGCGTTTTTACCTTAATGGAATAGTTTAATTATAACATTAAAATGTTTAGGAAAATAACATTTTTTCGAAAAGCTTATAGATAAATTAAAATAAAAACCTAGATCTTATTAATAGAATATTGATTTACAAATAATAATCGAACATGCTAAAGAAAAGCAAATATATACAGATATTAATTCTTTAAACGAAAAACAAAAAAAAGATACAAAACTATTAGAAAACTTAAATTTTGAACTTAACTCTAAAATAATACTATAGACTCTCTAATCACTTAAATAAGAACTCGATTTAAAGGGGAGAAGAGAAAAAAAAGATATTTTAGAAGGAAAATAAATAAATTAACATGAAATATAAAAAAAGGAACATATAAAAAAAGATATAAAAAAAGAAAATAAAAAAGGAGTTAAAAATATAATTGAATAGCCTATAATTGTTGTTGAAGAAAATATAATTCCTGAAAAAAAATATGAAAAAAATTTAGATATGTTTTATTTACTATTAGATTTTCCCAAAAATTAAGAAGACTTATAAGCTTTAGTTGATAGTTAATTCAATATTGATTTAATTTTTGAAATTCATGAAAAAATAATATACCATAAACCACTTCCTGATTATAATTTACTTACTTAAGATTAAAATTTCGATTAAAATATATAAATTAGAATGAATAAATTTATTGATGAATATCAACATGAGGGTATATATATATATATATATAAATATAAAAAAAATAATATATATATAAAAAAAATATTTTTATTTATATATATATATATAAAAATATATTTATATTATATTATATTATATAGATATATATATATTCTATTATATTAGAAAAAGAAGAAGAATGTAAAAAAAAATAAGCATTATTAACAAATGAGGATAATTCATTTATTAATTAAAATTAAAAATTTTTATAAACTTTTAAATCCTTAAGACAAGAAAGTGCAAGAAATGCTTCTATAAGAAATAGTGTAATTAAATTTATTTATTTTGAAATAAATTTATTTGATGAAGAGGATTCTTATTAATAGTTTATTGAATAACTTTATTTTTAAATTTGCTAATTTTCTATTTAGAGTATTCAATATTAATAATGGATATAAACTAAGCATATATAAGAATTGTGTACTAAAGAATATGAATTAAAATTAAAGATTTAACAAGAAATATAATAATAACTAGCCAAAGAATAAGCCGAAAAAGGTTTTTTTTTGTTTATTTTAAAAATATAAAAAAATATTTTATTTTTTTTTAAAAAAAAAAAGAATGCCCTCGAAGTAGCTGAAGCCTTAAAATAAAAAAAAGTTGGAAAAAAAGAAGTAAAAAAACATCAAAAAACTAACAATAACAACAAGAGGAAGATATCCAAAAAAAAAAGAAGAAGAATAAAAGAAATAAAAAGAAGAAGAAGAAGAAAAAAATAAACAACTAAAACTTGAAAAAAACTCTTAAAAAAACATTGATAAACATCCTTTATTTAATTACTACAGATAACTAAACCACCTAAATCTTCAAAACACAACCTCTGGTATATTACTTGAATGCTTATTAGACAATATAGATATTAATTAAAACCTAGAAACTAGAAATTCCCAGAAAGAAATAGAAAGAATTCTCCAAAACTTTCAGAATTAAATCATATTCTAAAACTAAAATCCTTTATTAAACTACAACTATGAAAATTTCATATCATCAGAAACCAAAAGTACACAATATAAAACAATTATTGACTACAATGATTAGATAGAAAAAATTTCTTTGAATTCACACATAAGCAATCTCCAATTAGCTTCTTTTAGAGAAAAAAACCTCCTCAAAAACATCTTATTTCCAGGCCTAAATAGACAAAAAATGCCCATAAAACCCCCTTTATCTATCCCTGAAAGAAACTGCCTAAAATAAAACGAATTCGCCTTTGTAAGTAATAATTTAACAAAAGAAGAATTTGAGCACCAAAAAAGGCTTATTTTTTTTGAAAAAATGATACAAAACGCCGAACCTGAACGTTCTTGGGATTTCAGTGACCGTATATATATAGAAAAGCACTCCGAAAATACCCTTAGATAGCTTTTATGGTAAAATCTTCTTTTTGAACCTAAAACAGTAACCCAATATAACCCTATAGATGATAATTTATATTTATGTATGTATTTTAAAAACCCTCCGGGTAGGATTTTGAGAAATAAATGGACTCAAAAATTCTAGACAATCCCTTCTTTGGAAAACTGGATTAAATATGTAAAAGATGACAAATTAAATTTCGAAAATCAAACTTTTTATAACTTAGATGATTAAAAGGTAGGAAATATTCACGAAAAAATCAAATATATATATCCGAATGATAATTCTGTTATTCTAGGCAATTCTTTTTAGGTCGGAAATTAACTTTATTATAGATATAAGGTACTTAAAGAAGGCGTAATATTCGGAATTAGAGAAAATATATATAAAAAAGCAAATTTTTGGGCATATTTTGACAATAGGAGTATTTTGAATGCTGAAATAGATTAAAATCAGAATATTGATTTCACTTTTACATTAAAAAATGGACTTATAGTGAAATTTTTGGCTAATGGAGATGTTATTTAGACAAAATTAGAGCAAGACATAATTAATAACTATAAAGATTTCGATGATATAGTGAACCCGTATAATAATAATAAACCAAATAAAGAAATCGAGACTAAAAGGGTCATTACAGGCAAAGGAAGCGTAATAAAATATACGAAAGATGGTTCTATTTTTGTATTTTTTGCAAATGGAAATGTGAGTTTTTGTTAACAAAATAACGGAATTTGGATTACCACAAATAATAAGGGAAAACGCAAAATAAGAAACATATATGAAAACACAGAAAATGAACTTGATTAAATTAATGTTTAATACAAATTTGATATTTAAACTGAATAAAAAATTTATTTTAGAGACGATTAAACTTTAGTAATTTAAGAAAAAGACGGAAGTATATTTACTTAACATAGTGATGGCACATAAATTTATACTAAAAAAGATATTATTATAATATAGCATTAAGGTAATATATATAAATATAAATAAAAAATATATAAATATATAAATATATATTTTTAATATATTTTATATATATATTTATATTTATATTTTTATAAGATTTTTGTACTGTAAAAATATTATCTGATTAAATTAAGTCAAGAACAGATACTATAATTGGTATAGGAAGTGCTTATGCCAGTGTTGGATTTGATAATTTGTTTGAAAGATCTAATGATGGTAAAATTATTGAGGCATATTTGTTAGATGGTACTAAAGTTATTAGTTATAAGTAAAAATAATTATTATATATATTTAATTTTTTACTAAAAAAATTAATTTAATATTAAAATATAAACTAATAAAAGAGAAAAAAAAGAATTACCAGGCTTTAATAAGCATTAATTAAATAGAATATTTTTATTATATACATAAAATGGAGATGTAGCAAAAATACTCGATAATGGAGAAATAGTATTTATATCAGCAGTTGATAGAATTTAACTTAAAAAAAACAGTCATAAAAGTATTAATAGTAATTCAAATGATATTGAATATTGGCTTTAATTATATTGCATACCTGAAGAAAGAAAAACTGGTGTATATAGTTTTAAATTACAAGAAAACATTATGTGGACAAAAGACGATGAAGGAAATTATTTTAGTCTGAAAAGTGATGGTGAAATTATTAATAAAATAGCTGTTTCTTTAAATAATGATAATTCTCAATCTAGACCTTCTACTCCAAATTTTTAAGATGGAGACTTTATTGAAGAAGAAAATAAATTTTTACCTATACCACCTTCATGGATTGATGTGAAATTATTAGTAATAGAAAATGATAATACAGGATATGAAGTATTTAAATATATAAATATAATAATATTTATTATAAATATATATTTTATCTTTAAATTTTACATATATATTATTATTATTTTATTTATATTTAATATTAATTTTTATAATTATATTTTTATATACATAAAATAATAGTTGTTTAATTATAATTAATTAGAAAATTTTTTTAGATTAAAATAATAAGATAATCTTTGTTAAATTATTGATTGTTAATAAGTTGAAGGTTTTTAAAATTTAAGCTCTATAAGTTTTATTAATAAAATTCAATAAATAGAAGATTAAAAATAAGATTTTATTAAGTTTTAAATTCCTAGAATTATCAATTATATTCCTAATACAGCAAAAAAAATTGAGATTCCATCTAAATAAATTTTCTTGCACAGAATTTTAATTAAATATGATAAAATCGATTTAGAAAAAAGAAATGTATTTAATTAAAATTAAGAAAAATACTTTAAATATTAATTATTATAAGAATAAGAAAAATATAAAATTATTTAGAAAAGTGAAGATGAAAAAGATAAATAAATATATATTTCTTTAAAAATAATTGAAAAAAGAAAAAAAGAAAATTAACAAAATGAAAATTGTAATAATTTAAATATAAAGAATTGAAATAAATTAAATAAAATAATAACTTAATTATATATATAAAATTATTATATTAAATTTTTATCATAAAAGCATTTATTTTATTAATAAATTTGATTTCAATTCATTATTGTTCTTAATATATTTTTTTAATTAAAGAACAATTATTATTTTTAAAATATTAATTATAATTATTAAATTAAATAAAATAGTAAATAAAATATAATTATAAATTATTATTTTATATATAATATTTATTAATTATGTAATATTTATTATTAAAAAAATTTTTAATTTTTTTTTTAAAAAATATACATAATTAAAAAAATATAAATTTTTAAAAATATTAAATATACTAATATATAATTAATCAATACTAAATAAATAAAAAAGTTATAATATTATATACTTTTATAAATTTTAAGACATAGAAATTATTTAATATTAAAATATACTTTAAAACCTAAATTTATTTTACATTATTTAAAAAAACATAATTAATTCATTCATAATTTAATTTATTGCTACGAAAAAATTACAATTATAAAATAAAAATATGTAAATTATATTATTTTATTTATTAATATAATTAATAAATTGCTAAGATATTTGGAATAAATTTTACTTTGGTCCATATATAGTTTCTCATAATATTAAAGGAAACTCAATAACATTGAATATAAAAGGCCATAATGAAGGATGGATAGCTTTCGGTATACTTTTCTTTTAAAAAAAATTGTTAAAAAAAAAATATAAAGGTTTTGGTGATTCTATGGTTAATTCTGATATAGTTTCAATAAGATATGATTAAATAAACAATGACCGTAATTTTAGAGTAATTGTAGAAGATAGATTTGCATTAGGAAGAGGAATTCCTTAGAGAGATGATTAAATTGGTGGGGCCTAAAGTTGGACACTTATGCAAGGAACATATAATGCTGGAAATTGGGATGTAACTATATAAAGATTACTTAATACTGGAGATACAAAGGATAAGCCGATTCTTGTTGATAAAGATATGATACATTATTCGCTATTGGAAGCGAAATGTAATTTAATTAAAAACATAGATTCTTTGGGAATATGAAGATCTTAAATATAGTGATAAATAATTAGATAATTAAGATGGAAGCGGATTATTTTTAGCTTTTGGGTTTATTTTATATTTAATTTTATTATATTATGAAATAAGATATATGGATATATTTAGTTATGTTTCAAAAAAAATAGAATAATAATTTCTAAAAAAGGAATATAATATATATATATACATAATTAACGTTAAATATAATTTATTTTATTTAAAATTAGTCATTATAGATATATATTTTTTTACGTCATTATTATTTTAAAATTTAAAAACTTTTTTTTTTTCTATAAAATTTTATTTTTTAGTTTTAAAATATAAGAATAATTTAAATAAATTGTTGGATTATATATCAAATAAATATTTATGTATTTATCATTTTTATATATATATAATAAATATTTAACCAGTTTTAATTTGCTTTTTTAACTATTCTAAAAAAATTAATTTTAATCAAAAAAATATCAAAATAATATATATATATATATAATAAGATTTATTATAATTAATTCATATATATAAATAAATACAAATTTTTATATAAAAAACAATTTAATATTTAAATTAGATTTATATTTTTTATACACATGCATAAATAATGCTAATATTTATATTTTTATAAAAAAATCAATTTTTATTATATTTTTATGTAATAATATTAAAAAAGGCCTTCTCCTTATCAGATCTAACTAACTTTTTCAATTTAAAAATATATTTATATGTTTTAATTATATTTAAATCTATTTAATTGTTGCTAATAAAATGTATTTTACTTGAAGCAGAATCTTTTCTATAAGTTTTACTTTTTTTTCATCATAAAATATTTATTCTGATTATTAACTTTATCCTTATTTATTTTATTACTATTTATTTTATAATGAGTTATTTATATTTTTTTATATTGTTTTTAACTAAGTTATTTTCAAATAGTCTTATTAAGATATTTACCATTCATCAGCTTAAGATATAGCTATTTTAATTTAATGTAAAAAATAAATAAATATATGAAAATACTTAAATATATATATTATTACATATGTTATTATATTAACTATTTTAATTTAAATATTGTTAAGGTAAAAAATAATGAATTTTTGGTTTTTATATAGGTAAAGGATAAAAAATTTTAAAGACTTTTTTTTACAAATTATTACTTTATTTTTACTACTATTACAATTACAAATCATTATATATTTATTAAAAAATATTAACATTTATATTATTATTTTAATATTTATCCATAATTTTTAATACTTCTTCTTTTTTTTAAGTTTCCATTTAAAACTACTCTATATTAAAAAAGCCTTCTTAAAAAAACTTATTATTCGTTTTAGTATTTTCAGATAATTATAATTATCTATCATATCTATCACAACTTTATTTATTATAATCTACCGATATCTATTATTATTATAATTTTTATTGTTATTAATTTTTTTTTAATAATTTTATTTTAAATTAACTTTTGTATTATATATGTGTTAGCTTCTAATATTTTACCATTTTAATTTCTACTCTACATCTTTTAAATATTCTTCTAGAAATCCATTTAATTTTAAGCAATCTTATAATTTCTATATTTTAAATTAAAAATATATATCTAAATTATTTTACTTCTCTATTTATTTAATATATCTATGCTTCTTAGCTTAAAACAATAGCTTTAATATCTCTTGTTTATTTTAGATTTAGATTTATTTCTTATCCAAAATATTAATTATCACTTAAAATACATAAAGATATTTAGAAGTATTAACTTTTTTATTAATTAACATTTAAATATTATGAACTTTGTATTTATTATTAATACGATTATAATTATATCTATTTATAAATTTAAACTTCTCCAGATTTAATAAAATATACAGCATCAGAAACATCTCCTTATTTAAATAAAACCGTATTTTTAGTATAAGAAAGTAAATCAAAGTAATGAAAAATAGATAATAGTTTCGAAGGAACAATTCTTTTAAAAAAACAAAAACTTTTAAAAAAGTCTATTTTAAATTTCAATATTTATTAATGGTAAACGCCTAAAATATTATCAAAACCTTATTTTGTTAAAGCTAATAAATGAGTATTTTCTTTACATAACATAGTTGCAGTTCTATTATATATAAATAGATAAAAATAAAATAAAAACAAATATACCTTGGAGCATTTGTCATTAATGCTATTTCTCCAAAGGATTCGCCTGGCAAATATACTTTTACACAAGTTAAATTAGGAAAATTTTTGATCATATATTAACTATCATCTATATCTGAATCAAAACTTGTATTATTTTTGTTTGATCTGTTTTGTTTTTATTTTATTTTATTTTTAAAAAATAATATTTAAGTATACTAATTTGTTAATAATTTATTCCATATTTTTTTCGCTTTATTTAAAGGACTACTTGGTTCATTTGGCTTTTCACTTAAAGTATTATTTTTTTTTTTAAATTATTCTTATGCGTTTTAATTCATATTAGGATTTTATACTAAACAATTTACTAATCCTTTTATTACTACATAATATGTATCACCAATATCCCCTAATAAATTTATATTTTTTTAAATATAAAAAAATAAAAAATTATTATAAATAAATGAATATATAAAATATTTATATATATATATATGTATTTTATTTTAATTAAATGAACCTAGATTAAAAATAACATCATGCTTTTAAAAATACTAATATTTAATTTATTAAAACAATAAATGATTAATATTATTATCTTAAAATATTTCCTATAATTCTTATAATGTTTTATCTTTTTTATCTAATCCTTCTTCTCTTTCATTTTTTTTAAATATATTTAATCCAATAATTGAATTTTTTATTATTGTTTTTAGAAAATTCTATTCTTCTTTATTTTTTATTTTCTTTTTTAATATTAAAATAGCTAACTTTTTTTTATAAAATTAATTCATTTATTTGTTTTCATTTATATATAAATACTTCTGCATGTTCTTAATTTTTTAACGTTATTGCTTATTCTTTTAAAAGCTGGTTAATTTTTTCTTGGCTTAATTAAAGTTTATTTTATTATTTCGGTTAATTCATTTCAAGCAGAATACCTAGTATTTTAGGATTAAATTTAAAACTTTTATTATCATCTAAATTTAAAGTGTTGCTTTAAACTAAAAAATTTTATTTTTTATAATTCATTAATATTTAAAAATACAAAATAACATAAATTAAAAAATAAAAATTATAACAAATAGATATTTGAATTTAATATTTAATATTTTAGCAAAATTAATAAATTAATTAATAATTATTGTTAAAAAGGAATATATATATATAAATATATATATAAATATATATATATATATATATATATATATATATATATATTATATACTTTTTATAATTATTGTATTAATTTTTTTCTAATTTTTTAATATTTTTTTTTATTATTATTAATATTATTTTACTATTCTTATAAAAATAAACATATTCTTTTTTTAATTTTTTTTTTAAAAAAAAAAATATAAAAAAATTATATTATATATATATAAATTAATGGGAAAATAAATATTCTTAAAAGATAAAGAATAAATTTAAATAAAAAAAGGAAATAATTTAGTTATTAAAGGTCATTATGGAAAGCTTTAATGGCTAAAAAATATAGATATGGATGAAGAAGAATTACAAAAAGTAAAAAATAAAAAATATAATAAAAATAAAAATAAAACAAAACAAATAAGATAGTAAAAATAAACAAAGGAGAAATACAATTAAATATAAATTATTAAAATGAAATTTAACAAAAATTAAATGATATGTGTATTTTGACATTTAAAAATATGTTTAATTTAAAAAATAAAATAAAGAAAAATTAAAAAGCTAGTGAATACAATAAAGGAAAAAGCTAAAAAATAAGGAGCTAAATTCATAAAATTTAATTATAAAAAGTAAAGTTTTAAAATACAAGTATTTCATT